GCAGGGGAAGAGGGGGAGGGGAGGGGAGGAATAGTTTGTTAATATGATGGAACAGATTGATTTTACAATCAATCAATATGTTTGAATCCTCATCAGAAACACATATCTAACAGGGAAATCAAGGGTATAAAACTTCACTAAGAACTTAAGTGGACATTTTTTAAGTTCAAAAAGGGGCGATACTCAGAAAAATATTATGCATAATATTATTTGTAAAAGCGAAGTTTGACAGAGGCAGAATAGGGAAATCAAGGGTATAAAACTTCACTAAGAACTTAAGTGGACATTTTTTAAGTTCAAAAAGGGGTGATACTCAGAAAAATATTATGCATAATATTATTTGTAAAAGCGAAGTTTGACAGAGGCAGAATAAACTACTTATATATGAGTCTAAAATATTTATTAAAGGTTAAGTAGAAAAATTAATTTTGCAAGACTTCTTTTTCTAAGACATTTTTACTATGAATTATAATGTTTTTATAAATAAATAGAAACAGAGGTGCTAGAAAATTTTCAGAAAATTAGATGTTAGAAATTTTAGAAAAATTACATAAAGTTTTGCTAAAATATCAAAACTCAAAAATCTTGAGTTATTTTGCTAATTTGGTATTTTACTAACCTGTAGGAATTTCTGATTTAAGCACATCTAATTTTGTTGAGTTCCTGAGTTATTTAACTAAGGCGGCTATTTTTCTCTCACTGTGACTGCACATTACAACATCAGACTCTGTATCCAGTTTTGGGAAGACAAGGAAGTAAAATGGTTAAAAGTAAAGGCTTTGGAATCAGATAGACCCGCATTCGAATACCAGCATGACCTTTTGTTCATTCAATTGTTCATTTAGTCATATGCATTCAACCGGTATTTACTGGGATATATTAGTGAATAGAAAAAGTTCCCTGCCTTCCTCTACTCTAGTGGGAGCAGTCAGACAATACAACAACAAAATATGAGAAATGAATGGGTTCCATAGTATGTTAGAAAGTGATACATGCTATGAAGTGAGAAACAACAGGCCTGGGTGAGGGTCACAGAACTTGTGTGTGTTTGTGCCGGGGTCGTAGTTGGCCCAGAAACATAATTTTAAAAGAGATTTCAGACAAAACTCTCTAAGCCTCGGTACAGCCTTGCATAAAATGGTGATATTGGTACCTATCTCAGGGGAATAAAATAGATATTGTATATAGAGTGCTTAGCTCAGTTCTTGGCACACTGTAATAATGAAAAAAATAAAAATTGGGAATCATCCAAACGGGAATGGAAAAGAACAAAGTTAATTTTCTAACTCAATGGACATTTTTGTAAGCCAGTATTATACAGGGGTCCCCAAAGCAGCCAACTTTCAGAACAGAAAATACACAAAATGCACAATTCTCTAATTACTAAGCATTTTTCCTATGACTTTCAATGTGCTAAAACATTAGCAGCGTATAAGCTTCTCCTAGAAAGTGAATGAAACAACCCAATTGTTAACATTAGCATTATAGAGTTACTCTGAAGATATGAATAATTTAAAGTATTTGTGGCAGATTGTATTTTCTAAAACTGCTGTCAATAAATATTTTCAGTCCCACATGTTCTTCCGGAACCTTAAGCCTGGGAGGGTCTGCCCCAATGAGTAAAATGTTCAGAAGATGAGGTCGTCTGCCTCCCGAGGCTGGGCTGCAGGCTACAGAGCTTCTGGCTCCCTCTCTCTTCTGGCTCCACATGCCTTAGTAGCCCTGACTTCATGTGAGAAGTCTGTGCACCCTGAAGCAGCCATGCTGTGGGGAACAAATGGAGAAGCCACATGGAGGCAAAAGAGATGCCACAGGACCCTCTTCTGCTCTGAGTTTTCCCATCCCAGACACCAAACATGTAATTAACTGTGTCTTCTGATGTTCCCAGCCCCAGCCACTGTCCGTCTATAGCAGTGATAGAGCCTGCGTGGGAACTGCTAAGCAGAGCCCGGACAAACTGGAACCATGGCAGATAATAATGAAATCATCACTGATATGGTAAGCCACTAAATTTGGAAAGGTTTGTTACATAACAATAGACCCCTAGTACAGATATCGGTGCCTGGAAGTGGACTGCTGCTATTAAAACAATGTTGAAAATGTGCCAGTGGCTTTGGGAAATTAAAGACTGTTAGCAGAAGCTTGATGGCCCTCAAGAAAGCTCTTGGTGAGCTTAAAGGAAAGTGAGGAAGATGTTGGAGGCTGAGGGAAATGTGACACTTTTTATATTTTAGAGGAAAATTTAGCAATACTATAACCTGCAGTAATGAGAAAAATGGAACACACACTCAATAAACTGGGTGATCTAGCTAAGGAGGTGTTAAGGCAAAGTGTTAGAGTAAAATCTGAGAGTAAAGAGACAGGTAAAGAAAACACCATTAACTACAAAGGAGCCAGGACTATATGGGTTTGGAAATAAAATGGTTCTCACTGCCAGGTTGTCTAGAGGGCAAACAATTCTAAAGTTAAGAAATGACTTCGAAGCAGAGATGAAACCCAGGGCATTTTCAGGAAAACATGATCTAAATATGAAACCAAGCATTTATCTATGAGACTCTTGAGACCTCAGACAGATTTAAGTCAGTGCATCATAGACCTTTTCAAAGAAACAAAACCACAAGCCTGCTAAGAATATTAAGGGCATTTCCCCAAGGAATATTCCAGAGAGCTCCAAAATAGAGAAGAGATTATCTCAAAGAGATTTTTGGATGTGGCTTCTGACTAATGGAGTGAATTACAAATTGATTCACAAGAAACCCACAAGACTTTTAAAGGAATTGTATTAGTTTGCACTGAAAGGGGCGAAGTCAATACAAAATGAAGAGACTTTGGTCCCTCAAAATATGAGCAGGAAGCAGCTAAGAAAATTTCCAGCCCCAAACATGAGCCACCTCTTATGGACTGAAAATTATAATTCAAAGGGTGAAACCAAGATTCCAGAGCATGGATCTAAGAGGCATGGAAGATCATTTCCAGGCACTACGACTGAGTCCTCATCAAGGTACGTAGCAACATGTGTCCAGCTGATGTTCAGAATAGTGCAAACCAGTGACCACTGTGTGTACCCTGACTTCCTTTTTGAGCTGGATCATGCATAACAGTTATTCTATACCTGTCCCTCCAGTGTATATTGGTTGTGTGTGGGAAAAGAAGAGGACATTCTTGATGAGCTGTCCACCTAAGAAACTTACCTGTCCGCCTGAGGAGCCCGCACACCTGGATCTGATTTAGAGGATGAGATCTGGCCCTTGAACCTGATGTGATGATGAATGGAGGCTTTGGGAAATTTGAGGGAGGGGTTGGGTATATTTTGTATGTGGGAGGAATGGGAATTGTTTTGTACAGAGGGTAGACTGAGGCAGATTATACTTTCCAAAAAGTTGGCCACAAGACTATTTCCAGTCCTATCAAGCAGCAGAATCTAATTCTCCTTTCCTAAACCTGCAGGGGCCTTTGGGACTGCCCTGATGGACAGAAGTGAAGCTGTGTGACTTCCAAGGCTACTTGTACAAGGTGATGCAGCATCCACCTACATTCTCTTTCCTGGGACCTGAGCCTTTGAAGCACTGATATCCCATGTATGAAGTCCAATACCCTGAAGATGCCATGTTGCCAAGCAATGTCAAGACAACCTAGCAGTCCCAGTCCTGAGATGACTGGGACACTAGACATGCATGTGACTGGCTTTCAGAGAATCACAGCCACTTCAGTGCAGCTTCATGAACGACTCCAGTGCCAGCCACCCAGGTGAGCCCAGTCAACACCCAGAGCCCACGTGATGGCAGTGAAAGAATCACTGTTTTATTTAAATCACTAAGTTTAGGGTGGGTGGTTAAGTGGCAATAGGTAACTGATGTAGCATTCCCTCGAGGTTTGCTTTAGATTCAAGGAAGGAGAAAAAGCCTTTTTCATTAAACTGTTATACATGAAAGTAGCATGGCTTGTTAGGAGGCAGTGGGAGACTGGGCTCTGGAGTTCTGCCTGCCTGGGTCCAAATCTTGGCTGACAGAGTTAGCCAAGTCATGCCACTGCTCTGTGACTTGATGTCCTCATCCTTACAGGGGTTGTGATGACAGTCCTACTGCATAGGGTAGTTCTCAAGATTGAAGATACTTGCTTAATGCCCTGTGCATAAGAAACACTCAGAAAGTGTCAGCTGTTATCAACAGTTGACTGTTACCAACTACTATATAACCAGAAATTAATCGTGGGAGATTGCACAGTGTCCTTTAGTGTATGGTCTGGGGTCAGCAACGTTGGACCACTGGATACTTTTTTGATTGTGTAGACAGCACAGTTTCCTGTCCTACTTTCTAACTATTAAATTGGAATCTCTGGGGATTGGAACTGGAAATCTTCATTCTTTATAAACTAAAATTGGAAAGCCACAGTTAGAGAATTAAAGTCTAATTTGGTTTTGAGGCTTTTTCTGGGTGTGTGTGCGTGTGTGCACATGTTAAAAGTTCACTTACAAATGTGTATATACGGGTTATTAAAAATGATTAATAACATTAAGACATTAATGTTACATTAGTGTAAATTAATACATTAAGAGTTTCTAATTTTTTTTTCATACTAAGTTTGAGACTAAGAGCATGGAATGTCTCTCTTCTTATTTATCTTCAATGTTATTTAGAGTTTTGAAGTTGATTTGCATCTACCTGACAATGTCAATGAAATAGAGTCAGGAAGACATCCTATGGACCACAGGATACCTTTAGGGCAAGTTCTGGTGTCCTAACAGTTACTGGAGTGTTGGAATCGACATTCTCCAGCTGTTTCATTGCTTCATAAACTTGACTCTTGCCTGAGCGACCTTGGAATGATATAGCAATTTTTGTCTTGTTTAAGTTGTGTTAGAAATAATCATCTTCTCGGGCCGGCCCGGTGGTGCACTGCTACAGTGCGCCGCTTGGGAGCGCGGTGGCGCTCCTGCTGAGGGTTCGGATCCCACATACAGACCGGTTCCCGCTCACTGGCTGAGCGAGGTGCGGGCACAGCGCCGAGGTTTGCGATCCCGTTGCCGGTCCCGGTCCGGTACGGGTGCGACACTGAGGGTTGCGATCCGTTGCCGGACACGAAAAAAGACAAAAAGGAAAAAAAAAAGATAATTGGAATTATATTATTGTAGCTGTGTTGTGATTTATGCACATAGCTTTAAGTTATTGATTTTTATAATTTATACTGATTCCCAGAGCAGCAAGACGCCTCACCTACATTTAGGAAAACTCAAACAAAAGAGCATATTGCTTTGTCTATAGAGACTTTGGCCAGGTTAGAAACATTTTTATTCTATAGCTGGTTATTTGAGAAAGTCATCTCTCAGTCTAAATGGGCTTTACTTCAGTTTTCTGTGGGAATTGGGGGGGGGGGCATGGTAGTGGTGTGTGCCTGAAACTCTAACTCATATAAGCATTTCTGTGAGTTTGAAAAGGATGAAGAGAGGAATGAGAAAAATTAGAGAACAGAAAACAAGAAATGAAAATATAATTAGTTGGCAGACAGATGAATATCTATGGTGCAGATGCTGGATAGTATTTTGTCTAATTACACTAATAGGTGGAATAACAATTTCTTTCTAGTTCTCTGGGAGAGAAGTCTGTCTAGAGGTATTTTTCAGGAATTTATTTTCATCTCTGAGTACAGTAGAAATTTGGTATCCATTTTCCAACTCTTCTGGTGTGGTTTTGCTTAGTTTCAGAGCAAACTTAGCACTGGGCACAAGATTTATCACATAAAAGATTCTTAATTAAATGCCGGCTAGCTGAGTGGCCAGCTGGCTGCATGCATGATTGAATGCATCTACACACTGGACAGAAAAGGCTTGTACTGAGCCCTGATACATTGTAACCTTGTTACAGCACTTTCTTTTTCTGGTGGGAGGAGCTGTCCAGGCAACACTGTCACCTTCCCTCCCACCTTGTCTTAACTCATCGACTGTGCTCTGCACCCATGATGCTACTTGAATGTCCTTCCTGAACCTTCTGCAGTCCCCACAGCAGGTTAGTCCCCCTTGCTCTGCGTCCATAGCATCCTGATCCTGTTGCTATTACTCCATTTATCTTATAATTTGTTTTCCCATTTATCTCTCGCACGGGTCTGCGAGGTCTTTGGGGAGGAGCCGGGCTCATGGAGCACACTTAATGAGTATTTGTTGAATGTACTGCATCACGGGTGGTGACATGCAGTTGTACTCTCCTGTTATTTCCAGTAACATTTCTCAGAAGAGTATTCACGGGAGACCTAATTTCTTTCAATTTTCAGGTAATAGAAAAAAATATTATAAAGAGGCATCTGCTAAAACTATGCCAACAAACCAAGTCTGACACATCTCAAGGGTACATTTTGAACCCTGCCCAATTGTGCTCCTATACCTGTGGCTACTGAGTACTTGGAATGTGACTAATGACTAAGAAACTGAATTTTAAAATATATTTTATTTTAACTACTTTAAACTTAAAAGGCTCTGTGAGGCCAGGGGCTACTACATTGAACAACACAAGTTTAGACTGTACTAGAATTGTGGAGTACTGAGTGAGATGTCTAAGATGCTAGGATCAATTTCAATATTATGCTTCTCGGCCACCTTCGCTCCTGTCACAATGGCATAAATGGAAGCAGGGCCACTGCCACCAGCTGGCACATCACATAGGGCTCTGGGTGTAGCTACCTTTGTGATCATGGCTTAGAAATCCAGAGCACTGATATACTGAGTGACTCAGCCCCTCCCTTGTCCCTCTCCGACTCCTTAATGCTATAAAAACTAGCCTGTCGGGGCCGGCCCGGTGGCGCACTGGATAGTTCGCTGCTTGGGAAGCGCGGCGGCGCTCCCACCCGAGGGTTCGGATCCCACATACAGACCGGTTCCCGCTCACTGGCTGAGCGAGGCGCGGGAGCAACGCCGAGGGTTGCAATCCCGTTGCCGGTCCCTGGTCCGGTACGGGGGCAACACTGAGGGTTGCGATCCGTTGCCGGACACGGAAAAAGACAAAAAATTTTTTATCTCCTATGGTTTCAGAATAGCATTTCCTTTTTAATTGTTATATATATGTGTGTATATATATGCACACACACACACACACACACATATATATTTTGCTGCTCATAGGAGAGAGTTCAAGTTTTGAGCTCAACTGTTTCCTTACTATCTTATCTCCTTTCATATCTGTATGACTAATTGGGAACTGATTACCCCAAAATCTCAGCTCCAAGGCACTGGTCTTCTGATGTGCACACAAATGGTAAGCTTTTTTTTAGCCTTTACAAACTACCCTGGGGCCTACCTATCCAAATTTACAGAGCTTGTTTGCAGTGCTCAAATTTGCATGGGGCTCTGTTTTGTATACGCTGCAATGTCCAATTTTATTTCCTATTGGTTTTCAATTTCTGATACTATCTCGAGTCCTTGTTCCCCGTTCTCCTATCTCACTGGTCCTAGCATTTTAGATGCTATTCTCCTTATCCAAGCTGCCAAAGAGATCTTTCTTCTTATTCTGGTCACACCTTTTGAGATCTGCACCCTAAATCCAATATGGAAGTCTGAGTGTAACAACAGTGGAAATGAGATTCATCCCATTTTCTCAGGGAGTGTACTAATGATTCATTTAGATTCTAAACTTCTTCTAGTCTAATATGCCAGAAACAGGGCCTAACACACAATAGGTGATCAATAAAATCTGTTAAATTCATGTGTGTTCTAAGAAGCCCTTCCTCTGTTTTTCACAACTGTAAAAATTAATAATTAAACTAACTGTCACATGTACCCATCTATGAGAGATCTAAGAATGAAGTGACTTTTCCCTTTTTGCAGAAGTATTTCCAGAGTGTTGATGCAAAAAATTTATGTTATCTAGTCCCAAAAGTTTTGCTAATAACTGAATTTTGCTGCACAGTGATTCTACTCGGTGTGAATCATTTCACTTACCACATGATAAAGCAGGCTTAATTTTTAATTAGATATGATCACAGGAAAGCCTGATGAATGTTTTTAACCTTTTAATTAGTGAAGATTTGCATGGAGTAGCGATCCACTTTTTGAATTGGTGCTGGTTGGAGGCTGCTCATTCAATGTAGAGGTGGGGACGGGAATTAAGGAAATGATCTATAAGTAGCTTTTCCTTAAGAGGCTTAGAGATTTGAATAAACATTATTTATATTTAATGATTAAAGAGCCACTGGCAAGCCTACAATTGGATTTATTTCTATTAAGAATATATTAGGGCCACAGTACTGCCATGGGGCACTAGGACAGGAAGTCAGAGCATCAGTAACCCCCCCAAGGAGGCTCTACTCGCCCTTTGCTAACCTTCGCTCGCTGCTTCCTTGACTGCTGCCGACAGGCAGGCGCTCACAGCCTCATAGGAGGCGCTCAGCCGGGTGTTGGGGTCCCTCTTCGGCTTGGGTGGAGGCTGTTTCCGTGGGGACTGGAGGCCACTGCTGTCATCCATGCTGAACACCAAGTGCAGCGAAGGAGACCGGATGGACGGTCCAGCGAGAGACTGTGCCAGGATGTCCCCTGCTATGGGCACTGGGATGGAGCTGGAGTGGAAGGGCCTGGGTCCACCCTTGTCTTCAGCTCTTAGGGGAGACAGAACACAAACAGCCCACACCAGGGAGACCCAGGTGCGTTATTCAGGTCACAGGAAACCTGTTCAAGCAGGCACCAGGATGCCTCTTTGGCAAACAGCCCGTCCGGCTGTGGCTAGAAGAGGAGCACGCGGCTCCCTGGTGACCAGCTCGTCCAGGGAAAGTCGCCCAGCCTCACCTCCCACCTTACCATAAAGGAGCACGCTGGATATTCATCATGATTCCTTTTCAGAATTCGCTCACAAACGCAGCGCTATGTCAGGGGCTTCACATTTTCTATCGGGCATTCACTGAATGAATTTTTCACACTCTGATTATTAAGCAAATCAAAAAACTAGAATTTCAATCTGAATGATAATTTCTGGGAAATCCATCTTAATAGAGAGTTACTGATGCAGCAAATGCTGGGAGTTCATCACCGTTTCCTCTTGCAAAAGGAGCATAGATTCTACTTAAAACTATCAAAATTTAAAATTTACATTTTAGCATCCTCTCTCTCTCTTTTTTCCTTGCCATTTAAATTGACCAGCACTCATTTCATTATGTGTGGAACTATTTTTCCTTCATTACTCCATATGGTTGCCCAGTGCCAAGTGAACTGCTGGTATTCAATAAATAAACAGACAAATACTTCTTCACTTAATTTTATATCGGGCAAATGAATACATAATCAAATTGAGAAATTGGGGTGGCTGTTTGGTTCCAGCAGAGAAAATAATAAATATTATTCTGGAAGTCATATCAAATGAATAGTTATCTGGTTTAAAAAATTCCTTCTGGCTTCACATGTCAATGTAATCATGTACTAGCAATATGCCAAAGCGTTCATTTTATAAGGAGTTTCCGAGCGTTTGTTTTTATAATTATATCTTCCCATGGCAGCACACCAACAGGGCTGGAGCCTACCATGAGGCAGAGCCAGCCGCCCATGTAGAAAATGCGGTAGCTGCAGATGAAAGCGTGGTGTTCTGCGGATGATCTGTTTTCCCTGTAACGTTTAATTACAGTTTTCTATACAAAGGGAATTTTTTCAGTATTTAATCACTGAGATGTTTGAAGCTAATTAGTGAGAGACACATTGCCATTTCCACTTTAATAAAAAATTATTAGACATAGGCAGAAATGGCAAATGAGAGTCATTTTTAGTGAGAAACAACAAGATATTACCAAATTTCTATGGAAAAATAAACATCTCCCTGTCAATGAGTTAAGATTCCAAGGAACCAGGTTATAAATACTCTTATTGAGCTCACTACTTTCATGTTTTCAGACTGGTGTCTCAATGTTTTGGTCAGATTTCCAGAAATTTCTATAAGCCAGCCTTCTATACATGACACTTGTGGGAAAACGTCATGGGCCCAGCTATATATTTTTGCTAATGCAGAAATATTAGATGCTTTAAAACTTTGAGCATGCTTGAGATAAAGTGATGCACACATGGTAGCAATAATTACTTCATGGGACTAAACTAACACATGCAGCATCCGACTCATGAAGAAAGCCCAGGAAACGCATCTTTTTAGATTGCTGGGGGGTTTCAAATAACAAACCATGCATGCTTGTTCCTCTAACTACTGTCATATTTGATTGAACTTTGCATTAAGGGCTATTGGAATTTTCATGACTCCATTGAGTCTTGTCACAAAGGTAATTAAAGTTGCATACTCCGCCTTTACCTTCTGGTGCCTTCCTCTAGCCTGTTCCTGTCCAATTTCTCTTTATGGTGGACAGGACTCGTTTCATTCCGGAGCCGGTCGTTTTCCCGGGCAATGTCCGAAGCATTCTGGATGACCAGCGCGTCGTAGGTTCTTAGCCCCATGTCCTCTGTGTTCTGCAGGAAGCTGTTGATGGAAGTGACCTCTTGTTGTCTGATGCTCATTTTCTGAAGCAAGTGCTGGCGTGCTAGAAATCCTCTTATAACTTTTAAAAAAGAACACAATCACGGGTCAGTGAACAGAGCAAAAGTGAAAAGCCCAGACACACACAATCAAAAATCACAGTATATTTATATCTGAACAGCTCTAAAATAAGATACATTTAACCCAGAATAAGAATTTAAGAAAGTGTTCTGATATATTAAAATGGATCCCTAAATTCAGTGGTGACAGCAATAAACAGCAAAAATCCTTGGCCTGAATGAGATCCTGCAGGCAATATTTACAATAAAGGCTCTTGCACTTTTTTTTGTTGTTTGTTTGCACAAACTGGACATTGATGGACTGGAGTTAAAACAATGGAAAAGAACTAGCCCCAAATCCCAAAGAGTTTTGGGGTGTGGCTCCAACTGGGCCATTCTGGGATGCATGGATCATCTTCGCACTTTTTTTTGTTGTTTGTTTGCACAAACTGGACATTGATGGACTGGAGTTAAAACAATGGAAAAGAACTAGCCCCGAATCCCAAAGAGTTTTGGGGTGTGGCTCCAACTGGGCCATTCTGGGATGCATGGATCATCTTTCATTATATCAGATTATCACAGAAACATCTACGGCTCGTGGAGTTAATCTTTGAAAGTATCATGCATGTAGTGCTTCTAGGACTGTGATTTAATTCCTAGAGAAATTAACACTGCATTTAAGACTCTGGGAAGAGATTGCGTAGAAATACAGGACATCCTTTCTGCTCTCCGCGAAAGGAGAGTGACAAATGCGTAAAACTTGGGGGGAACAGTGAGTGAAAATGCTTTGAAATTATTAATATATCATTAATAAATGTAAGAATTGAAAATGAAAATAAAAAAACCCCTTTAAAGCCGCCTCTGTGTGTCATTTTTATAATTTAATACTGAAACTAAATGAAAAACTATATCATTATCTCAGTTTTGGACACGATGGTAATTTTCTTAGGGAGACTAAGAAAATTCCTCCAGGTAACCACAACCAATGAACGGTAGACCAGGGTTCAAATCTCTCTGTACTTAGGAAGCCAAACACCATTTCCTCAGCCTCCAGTCATTTAGATGTGATCTGTGGCTCTCCAGGGGCAGATCCCCAACTGGGAACACGCAAGGAAGCATAGCTGCAATCAATAAGAGGAAGAACTTTTCAACAATTAGCACAGGGTGGAAATGGATCAGGCTGCCTCCTGAGAAAGGGAGTTGGCTTGGGGTCCCTGAGCCTGTAGAAGACAGAACAGTGGCCTCTCCTCACGGGTGCTGTGGACAGGTGCCATTCGAGGAAATCTGATTTACAAATTTCAACCTCTATGATGCTGTCCCTTCCAATCCTAAGTTTCTAGGATTAGAGGAAGTTGTTATGATTATAGAAGATCTATAATTTTAGGGAAAACGAGTGTGTTAGCAAAGACACTTTATTCTTGTCTTTGGGGTAGGGAGAAGCTTATAAAACATTGAGTGCTTTAAAATATGCCAAGGCTAACCTTGATCTTAGCCAAAAGGCCGAGGAAAGATAAAACCATTATTCTATCAGAAGGAGAGAAGAAATCTAGAGTAATTGGGGGGGGAAGGAGAGGGGGATGGGGTAAGATTGGACAAGGGGCACAAAGAATAATTATGATTTGTAACAATATATATGTTAGTAATATTGATTTGATCAACATATCTCAATGTTGAACCCCAAAAATATGTATAATCAATTTTGATTCAATAATAATAATAATAATAATAATAAATAAAATAAAATATGCCAGGCCTATAAAAAAACAAATATTTGGATTATATATGATATCTGCTTTGATGCCTCTATTAGATTAGATGGTAGAAAGCTGAACATAACTTTCCACAATTAAGGCTTCAGAGGAAAATAATATGCAGACATCTAAAACGCTCAAGGTTATTATGGCCCATCACCGAAACCTAATAATAATCAACCACATTGTATATCGACAAAATAAAAATTTAAAGGAAAAAGAAAAAATAAAAAAATAAAAAAAAATGCTCAAGGTTTTTTTTTTTTTTTAGGTAGCAAAATTAAACGTTTAGTTGCTTTGAAATGCAGTTGCGTTAACTATAAAACAGTCGTGCTGAACTAATCTAAAGGGAAAAAAAATAAACAGCAAAAGTTATAATCAGATTTTCAGGAATATAAAATGTGGAACAAATGAAGAAGTATTAGTTATGTGAGAAGCACACTGAAAGAGAAAAGAGGCAGAAGACATTAAATTGGCCTGTTCGCTTGCTCTTTCTTGTTGCATTAAAAAAATTGAGACATTGACTTTTGGAAGGGTGAAGGTGAGAGTATATTCAAGATGTTTAATCTCTTGGAATAAAGAGAAGATTAATGTGGATAAGCCAGACTCCCTCTGACCTCCTACCACAGCAAAGCTATTCATTGGATTCACATTCACCAGCAAATCTATTGTCCCACATCCAGAGGACTCTATTTCCTCACATTTCATATGAGCAGCCTTTTAAAATTCTTTAAAAATGCTATACCAGTTGCTAAAAACCGGTATCATTAATAAGGGACAACTTATAAAAATAAACTTGCCACAAATGGATATTAATGTTGTTGACTTTCTGACAATTTAACAAGACTAAATGATTAAATTTAAAACTAAAAACTAGCTTTCTTTCCCACAAACGTTTATAAATGAAAAAAAAGAAAGTTGTCTACTGAGAGAGCAAAGAGCCCCCGACAGAGAGTCCACAGAGTGCCCAAGGTTGAGGGGGTAATTACGAGTGCCCGCAGAAGTGCTGTCACTCGGAGCAGGAGATCACTGAAATGCTCCCAGATGTGCGATGAGCCTTTTAAATCTGCCCCTGCTGGAGGAGACCAGTGCCAAGTCACACTGGGGCCAGCAGAGGACTCGTGCTCCCCTCTGACTTCTCCCTCCTCCTCCTCAACCCTGGGGGAGCAGAGGAAGCTGGGCACACAGGTGTCAGTACCACACCTACCCCCCATGGAATATTCTGTACCGAACAGGCCTGAAACGGCCAAGGGGGATGTTTATAACTTGGAATGCAGTTCTGAAGTGGACATACTAAATTCTGAACTGAGACGCTTTGAGGAACTAGCACACAGCAAGACTTTTTATGATCGAAAAATGAGGGGACCCATTGAACATACACACAGGAGTCCCACAGAGGCCTGAACAGATTTAAAACTGATTTCTGCATCCTATCAGGTTACCTTGTTAGATTAACGGTTTCAAATATATCAGAGAGCTAAAATCACTAAAAGTCCCACCAAAAGCTAGCATATAAGTGATTTCTCCCTCTTTTACCTTTCTTTAAGGAAAATATACCTCTTTATATAATACAATTAAATTATAAGCAAATTAAAATTTAAAAATTTTCTTAAGCATATACATTTTATGTGTTATACATATGTTTTTGAAAATGTACCCATTATCAACAGTCACTTGGGTTTTTATAGGAAAAATCAAATTCTAAATGGAGCTTCTCCCAAAGTTACAATGAAATGGTGCTATCTGCTGCCAACGATAGCAACCCTAATATTATCATCACTTCACAAAGGAAAAATGAAGTCAAGGACTTTTCCAAGGCTTGTGTAGAATTATAGAAAACGTTGTTTGGCTGATTGTCTTGATCCCACTCTTCAAACTCTGGCGTACCTGCGGTGCTTCAGCTGCACCTGACTGCCAGGTGGGAGCTCTTCCCTCTGCAGAGTCAAGGGTATATTCTCAATGTCCTGGACTTCTTAAAATGATCAACAAGGCTGAATAGTTGCACGGTAAGGGATGCATAAATAACGATATATATAAATCCTCTCTTCCAAATTGTGATTAAGGTGGAAATTTATAAAGCTTCATATGGAATGATTATTAAATAATGCATGAGCAGTGTCTACAAATGCTGGTTTAGAGAAAGGTACATAGCAAACTAAGCCACAGTGCTTCCTAAACACCCCAAAATGACTTGCCTGAAAGGAGCATCTGGGAATGGATAGCATGGTCCACTATGATGCAGGTCCCACTGACATTTAAACTTGGGGGTGCACTAAACCATGCTGCATCTCACAACTCAAAGAAGTTCAGAAATGTCATTGTACAACTCTTACCTTTTTGGCAGGTTATAATTTTTCTCTGCAACTGCAGGCACAAGTCATTGAGCTGGTCAGCATGCCAGTATTTTAGAAACACTTTTCGGATTCCCATCTAAAATGCAAACAGCAGGGAAATGGTTAACAGCAAGAAGATGTCAAAATGGTGATGCGGAAATAATCAGATAAAAGATTTTTCCAGCAGAGGGTTAGAAGGAACAAACTAACAAAATTAATTGTAGTACATCTCTTATTTTTTTAACACTATTACATTTAATCAAAATCCCAAAGGTTTTGTTTTACGTGTGTTTGCTGTGTGTACATATTGTCACTAATGTTTGCAAATGCCTATGCACTCCTGATGTGGTGGATGAACCATGCAACGCAAAAGAGAAATGTTGGTCTTGACTCTTTATCGGAAGGCAAAACCATCCCCATGAATTCTCACATATCCCAGAGCCAAACCCTTATTTTTACTTTATGATATTTTTCTTTCCTCAACTTAAAGCAGGGAGATTGAGTCTGTGTAAAGAAAAATGAATACACAAAAAGATGAAAACAAAATACAAAGATGACACATACAATTGTTTCAACTATTTTTTCCACTAGACCATATATCTTATTTTTACTTTATGATATTTTTCTTTCCTCAACTTAAAGCAGGGAGATTGAGTCTGTGTAAAGAAAAATGAATACACAAAAAGATCAAAACAAAATACAAAGATGACACATACAATTGTTTCAACTATTTTTTCCACTAGACCATATACGATTATAAATTGAATCTTTATACAACTGCCATTATGGAACTTCAGCACAAAAGTAAAAAGTCTCAAAAAAGTCATTTCTGAGTAATAAATCTTCTAGATGCTTGCACAAACCATAGATATGCAATGAACACACTTCTCCAGAACTTAAAAAGAAATTTCAGCATGACATCAAATCAATTTCTACAGAAAGCTCTAGTGGCCTGCAACGTTCTACTATTGATGAAAATAGCTGCCAAAGAAAATTATAAAAACACATAACAATAAGGCACATCCATACAATTTGTACATAATTTTCTTCTGTGCTGTACTTATTTTCTAAGAACGCACAGGACTGTGGCAGGTGTGAGGAATACCCCTTGTATACTAAGAGCTCATGGTCTCTTGGGAGAAGCAGACTCAGTAATTGCAGAAGAGCCTGGTAAATCCTAATGTGAAATGTAAGAAAGCTCTGAGGCAATATTCTGTTAGATACAGGAGAAATCCTGCTTGTGATATGTTCATAATCCTATTCTCAGCACTTGAGACAAACACCACTACAGTGAGAAGACAACGAATATGTGTGCTTCTAAGCATGAGCTGGGACATGAAAATGCTAACACCGTAGCCTGTGCTACACATCACAGTGACACCAGCAGCTTGCACAAATGTGCATGCCATTAGGTATCAGGAATGCTTGCAGGCCAGACTGGTCTTCAGGGTGCTTGGCCAGAGATGTTTTATGAATCATTTCATATGGAAACTGAGTTCACTCCAGACCTGTTTTATCACTCCACATTTTTCCACCTAACTCTTCCCTTAGTCATGATCTGTCATCTTAATGCAACTCATAGTTTAGCTAGAGACCGTGACCTGAGTCTTGCATGATGGCAGTCAGGCTGATTCATTAGATGAACAAGCAAAGCTCGCAAGCACTGGCCTATTTCAGAGGTCTCTGGTTGACTAGATGTTCTTCTTTGTTCAGTTTTCTTTCAGTTGGTTGACATTTGAGATCGTCACATGGGTGGGTGGCTACTGAGAACTGTGACTTTATTTCTTCATTGTATTGCCATTCTCTCCCTAGTTATTTTCCATAATTCATCGTCTTTTTTTCCCCAACTGCTGACTTATTTTGGCAGTCAACAGGAAGAACAGTTGGTCCTGTCTGTGAGCTCTGCAGAACAAATCTGTGAGACAGGCCTTGGGAAGGAGTAGGCATGCCACCTCTCTGTTCATTGCTGCTTGTAGAATGAAACTGACTGTGGGAAACTACATCCCAAAGGCAAAATCCATACCAACCTGGGTTCCAAAGCAAAACTCCAAAAGAATGATGGCTGACAATACTACACATTGGGTGGACTCAATAATGATCATGGGAGGAATTAGTATGTGGAAGGAGAGAAACAGGGGAAAGACCTGAATGGAAACAGGAGAACTGAATTCTAGATCCACTCCCTTAATTAAATGGAGACCCTGGGCAGGAAGGGAGTGGAATGAGATGACTGAGATCTCTCACAATGACATTTCCAACAGCCATTCAAAAAACCAAAGAAGGTTTATCTCGAGCATTGTGCTAGATCTGGGGACACAGAGGAAGTCCCTGCCCTCAGGAGCTCATGGTTTACTGGGCAGTTCAGCAGTGAACACATTCCCTCAATCACAATGACATTTCCAACAGCCATTCAAAAAACCAAAGAAGGTTTATCTCGAGCATTGTGCTAGATCTGGGGACACAGAGGAGGTCCCTGCCCTCAGGAGCTCATGGTTTACTGGGCAGTTCAGCAGTGAACACATTCCCTCAATGATACATGCTCAGTACAATGATAGAGTTTTGTCCAAGGAGCAGGTGGGACCCACCGAGAAGCATGTCACGCAAGTCATTTGTCTTTGAGGGATGAGTAGGAACTTTCCAGGGCATCTTGGTATGGTGGGAGAAGATGAATGTGAGACAGAGAAACTAGAATGTGAAAGGCAAGGACCAGAAAATGACAAACCATGTGGCAGCTCAGCTGTGTGGATAGTGAGGAGCAAGGAGGCCACACGTGTAACTGGTAGCCACCTCAAGAAGGGTATTTTAGGAAAAACATGAACATTTTCCTTGTGGGCAATTGAGATATGCTAGAAAATTTAAAGGGGATCAAGTCTAAATTTTATAAAAACATTTAAAAAATTTGTTTTGAATTTTACAAAGTTACTCTTGAAAAAAGGAGAATGGATTTTTGGGTTGGGCTGTGGGAGGCACTTGGCAAGGCAGGGCAATGCAATGCAACTAAAGATTTGGGGTCAGCAGGTTCTGCAACTGCTGCTGGTCTGTTGGCCAACTCCTATTTATCCTTTGTGACTGAAATCAAACCTTGTCTCCATTGCAAGATTTATGAAGCCCACTTCTCCACTTCCAGTAGGGCTTTGACATCCTTTGTGCTCCCAGAGCACCCTGTGAATGATTCTTTATTTTTCTTATTAGACTGCATTGTATATTTTTCATTATATGTATTTACATCCCCTGAAGAATGTGAACATGTATTCTTCAAAGGCACAAGTGGTAGGATGTGGGCAGGAAGGATTCAGATTAAAAAAAAGAACAGAAGATGAATTGTGAAGTCCTTTTAAAGGATGAGTCATGGAGACAGATGATGATATTTTCTAGGATGAAAATAAGGTATGATGGAAAATGCAGACTGAAGTCAGACCCTGAAGTCAGTCAGTGATCCAGAAACAAGCCATGGAAGGTGGTAGATGACAGAACAAATAACGGAGGGTCAAAAGAAAGGCACGAGTGGAGGAAGAGGGTCCACCGGTGCTGTAGCCACAGATTAGGGACCAAGGATGCAGCTGACCCGCCTCCTCTAAGACAAAGAGAGTGAGAAAGAAAGAGTAAAACCTCATAATAGAGTATTTTCAGAAAACACCCAGTGTTTGATTCAGATACGGAGGCTACACTAGAAGAGGAGTAAATACAGAAGATGAACTGCATTTTTCTTATAATGTAGGGGAGATTTCACAGCACCTGATGGTGGGCATTTGAGAAGTGGACTGAGGGTTTTTCGGGGAAGATGAGCTTGTTAGGTCGGACATGGAGGCAGAAAGGTGGGGACTGGAAGCACAGGGTGTGCAGGAGGGAAGGTGGAATGCCAGGTAGGCAGATGCATACCGTGGCAGGAAAGAGAAGGACAGGCCTGCTCTCAGAGCTCCTGGTGGAGTTTTGGTGTCCTTGTGCCTATGCAAATCTGTCCTGCCGAGGTGCAGCCAAGAGTTCTGTGGTGACGAGGGGCCCTGGGCTTTTTCTTCACTGGGAGAAGGATCGAAATATGAACTCACAGGTATCCCGTTAAGACATCGTGACAATGGCTGCCTATGGTGCCGCCATTACATTCAGGTGATTTTAAAAATTCTTCATTCAACTATTTGGGCATACTTAGCAGGTACCCAATCGACAATTTTATTTTATATCATTTTGTTTCATACAATTTATTTGTAAATTAGCAATATTTGGAGATGCTCACTGGAAGTTTTAGCATTTGTTTGACGTTGCTGGTCTTTTAGAGATACCATGTTTGTGGTGCGTATGTCTGCTCTCCTGAAAGAATGAAATTAGAAGTTTAGTAGTATTTTGGGGCTCTTCCTCAGAAACTGTCCTGAATCTGGTCCCGAGAGGCTTCAGTGAGGACACAAATCTCAGGATATTTCTTTCACACAAAGACCCAGACAAGATCACACGAATTCTGAATGTTTAGAGATTTATATAGTCTACGAATGGCATTGACTGGGAGAAAATTGTGCCCGGTTTTGCTTTTTTTCTGTGGAATGAATGTTATGGTGTAATCTGTATCTTAGGGTGCTATATATCAAACCCCATAAAATAAGATCCATCTGAATCAGACCAAAGGTTCAGGTCAGCTCCATTCTGGATTCTGGTAGCATGCTTATGTCGAAGGATGTCTCTCACTAACCAGAGAAAAGGAGAGACTAAAATGTTCTCCAGCGGAGCCCTCTCCCTGTGCACTCCTAGATGCAGAGTGTTCTTATCTGAGATGAAGATGCTAATGTCATCCTGACTCCTGTAAAAGTAAACCATCTGTGAATTACAGTCATCGCTATTTTTATTAGAAAACCATTAGGATTATTTTTTTTTGGAAGTGACAGATTTTAAAAGATTAAACAAACTTGTCATTGATGACTTCCAAAGCTCCATTTACTGTTACAGTTTTCTGGGATTTTTTTAAAGAGATGTAGGCTGTGGAAGTACAGACAAATGCTAGAATGGCGGTTGAGATGGAGGATAGGTGGCACGGAACCTGTGTTAGAAGAGACATGTCAAGGGGACTTGTGTAGCACTTCCTTTTAAAGGAAATTTTTAGGCATGCTGTGT